AAACATTTTATTGAAACTAAAAAGGAAGAGAACTTCTGTAAAGTAAAACAGCGCACAGCGACTCCGTGATTACAGAATTTTAAGCGGCCCAAGCAAGTTTTGTTTGTTGACGAACTTGCCTTTTTATAAACCAAAATTAATTAGTCTGTTTTTTTTCTCCTTTTAAGCAGCAAATTTGTCTGATCTTTAATGGTCCTTTAAAGATTGCCATTTTGATATGTTTTTGCAAGCATACAATAGAACCTTAATTCACGAAAGTCTTTGATCGCGATCAAGTTTTCCAAACGAAAAATGTCTTGTATGGCAAGCGATGTCTCGAGATACGAACAAGTAAGCTTGCAGCAAAGGATTTTCCAAAGAGAAGTTAATGCAATGCAGAAAATGTATTCAGAAGGAGAGGATGTTCCTAGTTACTTGATCAGCGAAGTTTATGCAAAAATAGGGTAAAATGTAAAAGTTCATAGAATATCATCATCTGATAATGCAGTAAGTATTAAGCCGTATCACAAATATCTGCAATAACAATAACATATCTGGTTTAACATAAACAGAAACGAATCACAATGGACAAGCTATTAATGGGATAAAGGCTTAGTTAATCTCAAATAGAGAGCGCGAGATTAAAAGACAGAGGGAAAAAATTGAATAAAGGCAACGGCTGTCCGATGTTTTTACGAAATAAGATTTCCCTTTCACGCAATAACATTTCCACTACTGACTTTGTTACCATTTTCTACTTATGCCGTCAGCTTCCCTTTGCAGATATAGGTCACTTGGATTCGAGGTTTCCTATTTGTACTTCGTGCAAGGAAGTACTGTAATTGCGAAAAATTTCGGGTATCATATTTCAGGGGAAATACCCATTTGTATCATTTCCAAATCTATTTGGATGATTTTTTTGAGTGACGATTTGTCCATATGGACAGAATGAGGACTCTTTTCATTCCAAAACGGATTGTAAAATGAATTTAAAATTGAATTCAAATAGATTTTTTCGTGAGGTCTGTATATACGTACATTGTATATATGTACGCATTTAGCACAACTCAAAATCGATTAGCCTTAGAACGTTGAAATTTTGCATATGATCCTCCTAAAACATCTAGTTGTGCATTTCCTTTTTATTGCAGTATCAAACGTACGCATATATATATATATATATATGTATAGTTTTATATATCATCTCCAATGAACACAAATTTAATTAATGCGATGAATTATTGAAATAAATTTGAGTCAGTACTTTATTCCAATAATTTATGGCAATAATTAAATTTTTGTTTATATATATATATATATATACATATGTATAATTTTTTCATAAGAAACTAATAGTAAAGTTAAATAAAATTAAGTAATTCTCTTGCGCCATTCCAAGGAAGGAAATTTGAGTTTAACAAATACAATAACATTATCTCATTCACATAAAGCTAATTCAAATTTTAAATTAAGAAAATTCAATTGAAAACAAATAAAAGATTAATTATTGCTGCGAACTAATTTACAATATCATTTAAATTCAGAAAGCATATGTAAATTAAGTGCAAGCATCTAAATATATGAAAAAAATATTTTATAATCCAAAAAGTAATCCTAAAATTTTTTTTAAGAATTTTAAAGAGTAAATTAATTTGCATAAAGTGAATAATTGTTGAGCAGGCAGGAGACAGATCTTTTCAAGGGGAAGCTGCCTTCAAACCTAACTCTTCAGTTACTCAATTCTTTGTTTTGTCATCCACATAGGCATGGGTAAAGAATTACACAAAACCAAAAGTAGTGAATTGCTTAAATGCGAAATTTAACTATAAAATAATTTTAATAAATTTAGTAAGCAAATCGACATAGGAAACAAAATATTTAATTAAAAGTACATTGCTAAAGTAATTAAGAGTATTATTCCAAAGAAATTTAGAAATCCTTGCCTATACTGGTACTTCCCCGACACGAATTATGCATGCAAAACTAAATAAACATTCTAAACATAAAAAAACGAGAAATAAATACAATCTATAAAAATAATACTAAAAAGACTATAAGGTATTTCTCCCGCCTTCTTAGTGTGCCTTCGTGGTGTAGTGGTCTGCACGCTGCGCGTGTGTTTCAGAAGTCCGTGGTTCGATTACCGGCGAAGGCGTTGCTCATTTTTCATCACTCCTGCTTCCAAAATACCTAATATCTCTACAAGACAAGTAAACTTACCTCGTAACTACATATTTTTATACGCGGAAGTGTAGAGTAGTTGTTGTCACTGCTAACTGTGTAAATGGTGGGCACTTATGCAATGTAAAGTTGAGTAGTGTTAAGTTGCTACGTGTTTGATATTGTAAAAATTCAGCTGAACACTCTAAGGTAATGGATATATATGTGTGTATAGGTAGATAAATAGATATAGATATAAATATAGTATATACATAGATATATACACACACACACGACCCACCCTTTTGAAGGCTTAAAAGTCCTTACCTGACCTTTATTTTCTCAATTGTCGGTCGTAGTCACATACTTCCGATTACGGAAATGTTCTAAATGACAAAATTATCCATATTTGGGTAATATCAAATTTAAAAGAATAATTTTCAGCAAGTAACGAAATCTGCCTTGCTGAAATTTATCTGAATGCGATCGTCCGGTTCCTATATTTATGTTTGGGAAAGTTTTATAAAAAATAAAAATAGAAGAAGTTTGACTCCCGTGGGACAAAAATTGACTGGCATATTTAATTTCAAAATTTGCAACTTTTGGTGTCATTTATAACTTGCCTTGAGAAATGGGTTAATGAAGTTAGAATAGGAGGACATAAGTTTAAATAAAGATCAGCAAAAAAATGCATGTAATTTCATAGGCCGTCCAAGGAAGTCAATGAATTTTTATTTGTTCAATATCATATTAAATATTTTAATATTGTGTATATGCTAGATTTAATAAAAATCATTGATTTTATATTAAGAACATGCATATAAAGTAATCTTTAAGCAAGCAATGGAAATGCGGGAATGGATTAATTAATTTTACAATATTTCCTATGGGAAAAATCTTTTCCGTTTACGAATATTTTGGATGACGAACTATTTTCATAATCAAATTCTGTGCGTATAAGCCAAGACTTCAGTTTAACCATAATGTTTTATGAGGTATCTGACGAACATTCACTTACTCTAGTCCTCGGTGAATTTTCGCGGACATTCAAAACTAACGTAAGCATTGAATACCGTGAAAGTGAATTTCAATACTGAGGTTGGAGTCCCAGAAACTACTCTTTAAAAGTAAATTCTTTCTAGAAAATTCTTTTAGATTTCTTGCACTTAAATTAATTCTCGTAATAAGTAACATTTATAGAAAAACGTCCCTTTACATTTTCGAGTTTGTTAAAATCTTCCCACCACAATTTAGAATTAAGATTAAGAAAATTTACTGCTTTAGCTCTTTCTTTAACTTTTTAGTTTAGAAAGTATTTATTAGTCAAGTCAGATTTTCAAAATCCCAACGTATAATGTTTCTTTTCAACGAGTTGTTTCTTCCTTTATATTGAGATCCCCAACATCTTACCATATTATTAGTTCATATAAACACGTGAAACGAGCAGTTTAGCGACTTTTTTTGTCATGTTCTCAACACTTTTCTAATACTTTGTGTGCTCTATAACTCCTAAACGCTTGTCCCTCTGCCCCTGAGATTTCACAATTTTTCTACTTGTAACATAAGTTTTCATAAAATGTATGGTTTTCTGAGAATTCGGTATTAAAGGAGAGAAGGTTTACTTGTTAGTGCATGTTTCTAATACGCAAACAGTTGATGCCATTTGCAAAACTATTTCGCTGCTGGTCTTAGAATTTTAAGCAAACATGTAGATCTTTGTGCCAGTGACCTTTTCCTTATCTGCTTTTAATATTTATGACGAATCAAAGAATTTTTAGAGGAATTCATAACTCTAGATTTTGAGTTGCTCCGGTGATTTATGTCATCCGGGCTTCCCAGGCAGAAAGCTACAGTATTATGACGTAAGGTAAAGTTACAATTAGCATTTTAAGGCTTCTCAGATACAAAAAGTGACAGTGTTTTCGGCTTCAAAGTGCACTTTATGCCAGATTTTCCGACAAATATAGAAAAATATATCAAATTTTTTGAACGCCGCAGAAGTATCATAATCCTAATAATGATAACATTTTAAAGCGACCTATGTGCTATTGCATTCACACAAAGTCGTAGTTTTGACGTTTGTAATCAAAGCCAGAATCAGTCTTTCAGAACTCTGATATTATTCTCTATTGCCTAACAGCCCAGCCGGTATGGTGGTTAGTGATACTGGGTATCGTACTGATTAGCCCAGGTTCGAAGGCATGACGTCTGTAAGTGTATAATTTTTGTGCGGAAAGAGGGTACTCAAAATACACGGCAAGCCGAGCGCCTTCTCGAGAGCTTGCTAGTAGAGGATAAGGGGTGGCAAACCTTTGGATTGGTCTCTAGCGTTTCTCAAAAATTGTGGCGGAACTGCATAGTTAGGGCGGCGGGACTACGTATGTATGATCTCGCGTTGAAATTCTGATGTCCCGTCCTTCTTCGAACTAACCTTCGAATTAGCCTAAGTAGTTTTGTGGACATTACTCAAGAATAAAATTGAAAAGTGACTGCTTGATGGCCTGTGCTTTGTCCAAATAAATTGGTTACTTACATACAAAATTCGAATCACTGAATAATGCTAGTGTTTCAGAATAGTAAGTAAACAACGTTCATTTTTATGTAGTATATGCAGCATCTATGCAATAAATGAATTTTACATATTTAACATACTCTTTTACGTCATTTACGGTAATAACAGCTTCATAAAGTGCGCTTTTTACACATACTTTTGTATTCAAGAGAGCATTTTGCCCCTTTTATTGTTGATGAAAATTGTAATCTACAAATCCAATTCTAGTGATTTTAAATGAGCATTTTATTGCATTAATTTTGCACACATACATAAAGCAGATTGCTAATGAACTTCATTTTTTTTACAGATGGGAGAAGCAGACGCAGCTTATAGGACTGGTTAGCCAACCTTTCCAGGTTATTCTGGAAATCATCAATCCAGCGTCCGCTTATCCTTCGCACGTCGCCGTCGATGATCTTCAGGCTGTTGACTGCTACGACAGTGAGTAATTTACTTCATTATTTCTCCCGTTTCGAGACAGCAGCAAAATTTTCCCTCTTCGAGATTTAGTTTTAAAGCTTAACAGAAATCAGGGCTGTTTCTGTGAATCATTCAGCGATATGCATGACGAATGTCGATCAGCCGAGTCAAAACATAGTCAGCACATTTATTAACTAATTTCCACCCTGCTTCTGTGAGATAGTGTAGAAATATTTGGTACAAATGTAGTATTTCACATGTTTTTTTTTTTCAAAATCCTTAGGTTCAATTGGTTTTCCACATGTTTTTTCAAAATCTTTAGGTTCACATGGTTTTCCACATGTTTTTTCAAAATCTTTAGGTTCACATGGTTTTCCACATGTTTTTTCAAAATCTTTAGGTTCACATGGTTTTCCACATGTTTTTTCAAAATCTTTAGGTTCACATGGTTTTCCACATTTTTTTTTAAAATCTTTAGGTTCACATGGTTTTCCACATGTTTTTTCAAAATCTTTAGGTTCACATGGTTTTCCACGTGTTTTTTCAAAATCTTTAGGTTCACGTGGTTTTCCACATGTTTTTTCAAAATCTTTAGGTTCACATGGTTTTCCACATGTTTTTTCAAAATGTTTAAATTGTTTCATTATTAGTACTTTTTGCAGGACTGACAATGCTGATTTGATTTTTTGCAGTTTAATGATCCTAGGATACGATCACAAAAGCTGTAGGTCGCATACTACATTATGTTTTGTAAGTGGGTTCTTTCTTCGAAAGCGTAGAAATGCTCGTCAAAATTTTGGTTATTACCATTCAATAAGTAATAGCTACAATAAATAGAAGATAGGAATGAAGATTTAAATTCAACATACAATAAATTCGGCACCAAAGGATAATACCTGAATCTGAAATGAACTAGAATCTTAATGTGAACACAAATCGTTACTCTCATAATACTCCACAACCTTAAATTTGCAGAAATGCCTTTTTAATGGAAATTAAATAAAACATACAAATATTTATTTTCGTGTCGGTTGGGCCACAGAAAATCTTTAAAACATTGATAAATGGTTGCCAAACACTCTCCTCCGCTATGAACTATAGTCATATAAATTTGCTTACCAAAAAATATGGAGTTATTTACAATTATTAATAGTGCTAAAATAAAATAAAATTTTGGAAAGTTATTATTCTATAGATTTAACAAAGCTTAAAATAGGTAAATAAATATTACAGTTCAACAGCCATAGATTTTGCTCACTGTTTCTTAGTACGTCATTTTAGTTTACCAATGGAAGTTTTCAACTTTACAACTGGAACACTCCCATTCGCATCTGAACACATTCGAATACTTCTGTCAAACTATCATTTCAAGGTAGCAGGCTTCTTTTATTTTATTAACTCTAAATCATTCACCTTGAGTTTCGATTTAGCATTTATCTACTTTGGTCCTTGCTCTAAATAAGAGATATTCTGAGTATCAACGTTCCAAAATCTTTAAACAGATTTTGAAGTTATTTTTTAACTTAACAATAGCTTCGCTTTATAAGAGATGCTTTGTTGCGTAATTTGTAAGAACTGAACTCAAAGCAGCCTTTATGATGAAATTGCGAGATGTAACAGTACTTATCATCTTTAAGATAGAGTCACAATTGGTTTAGAGTTTGAATAGGACTTTTGTCGAGTAATTAAAATGATGAGTCTGTCTATATAAGTTAAAAATTTTATGCTCCAATAGTTTTTTTTTAAGATGAGCTTTCATTTGTTAAATGTCAGCTTCCCAATGCCATCAAAATCGGGGGCAAAGTTTTACTGTGGCTGAATAGGTAAGGATGGTCCAGTTTTTTGAAAAAAGGTACGATTTTTCAAGTGGGCTTTTTAAGTGGATAAGACAAGAGCACTGTGTATGGGGAAAAGTTCTGGGATGCCCAGCCCTTGCTGCAGATCATCGTAACACTGTCAAGTTACCGAAAAATTTTTAGAGATTGGGTGTGTGAACATTATGGCACTGCTGAACTTTATTAAAGTACAGAAGATATTCAAATATATATTATCATAGAAACGTTTGATTGAATTAGATATACATTAGAATATTTGGTTAATACGATTTTGTTGATTGCGACATTTTTTAAAAATTATTGCTATTTTTATTTTCTCTCTCTTTCATAATCCATATGAAAGAAATGTCTGTTTTAGTCTTTTGAATAAATTATGCATATTTTTTATAGGAAAAAGGCCAACAACAGATTGTACGTTCCATCAGTTCCAGTGTGATGACTTGATTTGCATCGAGAATAACCAAGTGTGTGATACTACACCGGATTGTGTTGATGGAGAAGACGAGGAACAAGATTGTGGTGAGTGAGCTGCTGCGATTTAAATTAGTACTTGATAATTGACCACCATTTAGCTCTAATTCGATGACTGACATTATGCAACATTGCCTGAAACTATTCCTAATAGTCTAGGTGTAGAGAATGAATACGATTGGCAGCTAAAATGTAAATAGATACTTTATAGAGAATTAGGTTTTTCGAATTAGGCAATTATTCTCTAAGCTTGGGAGCTAAAAATACCTTTTCTTATGTATTATACTTAGTCTTAGAAAATACAAGCTATAAAATTCCAATAATGGGTAAATGGCAATATTTATATCTAAACTTTTCTAGCTTGCTACAAAATTTTAATTCGTAATATTATATGAGGAATGCGCAATCATAGTTACAAAGTACCTGCATTTAAAGACGAGACAATAAAAAGTAAAACATCAAAAATTGTTCTACTACTAAATAAATATAAGTTTGTTCTGCAGTATAATAACAATGAAACAGTCTAGTAATCTTATTGACAACAAGGGACTTCTCTCGTAACCGCTTTTAGCAGTCCATAGGCCCGTCGCTCGCCGCGGCTGTTTTTTCATAATAAAATCAACGGTTGGCTATATGAATGATAATGGAATAACTTCGTTGCGAACTGATGACATAGAGACGCTGTGTTTAATAATTTATTGATTCGGAGATGCCTGTGTGGCAACGCTTGTCGGTACATTGAAGTGTCCTATGTATTTTTAGCTATAAGTAAGGCATGCAATTTTTTTTACTTACAGAATGTAAGATTTTTAATTAAATCAAGGTGTATTTCTGGTATAATTTCATTAGAACTTTAATTATAAACCGTTACGTATAAATTGCACAGTAATATGTTTTTGTTAAATGTTTAATCTAGTTTGGTAACATTGCTTGGATAAATCTAGAGTGCTGTGTGGTTAAGAATGTGTGCCTAATGTAAAATAAAACGTTGAAGTATGAATATAGTTAATATACATTACGTGTGTGTTTATTGAGTACTTGGAAATTACAATAGCTTTCACTGAATTTAGATTGATAAGCTTTGGGCTAAATACTCCTTTCAAGTTCAATAAACATACCAGAGTAGTTCATTAATTTCATAAGCGAAATTCAGTATGAAGGATTCTCTTTATTTTTCCAGCTTTTGCTGTATTTTTAACTAATAAAAATAAAAGAATTAAATTATTTAATTACTTAATTTTTAGTTACATTGTAGAGACATTAGGTTAATTGGAAGCAGGTGTGATGAAAAAGGAGCAACGCCTTCGCCGGGAATCGAACCGCGGACCTCTGGAATACGCGCCCAGCATGCAGACCACCCCACCACGAAGGCATGCCAAGAAGGCGGTAGAAATACCTTATATACTCCCCCTTTTAAAGAGCGACTGAGGTTTTTAGGGAACCCAGTCGCCAACTCCTGGGTGTGGAGATTCATCATCCAGCGCACTTTTAGTTCGGGCGCCATTGTAGAGTCATTAAAAATGTTTTTGAAGCCAGAGAGATGAACAATGGAGCAACGTCCTCGCCGGAAATCGAACCACGGACCTCTGGAATACGCGCCCTTTGTACAGACCACCACACCACGAAGGCTTGCTAAGAAGGCGGGAGAAATACCTTACAAGATATTTTTATAAAAAAAATTGATACTAAATATGCAACCAAGAATTCTTTTTTAAAAAATGTAATTACTACCCTCAGAAAATTTTTTTGTGGTATGTGGTTTTCTTTTTTACAGATAAAATTCCGAGGAGCGCTTTTTGTACATTCGAAGATGGCTTTTGCGGATGGAATGCCAGCGAGACAGGGGACAGCAAATGGATTCTTAACAAGGGAGAGTCGCCTAATTTACGAACGGGTCCATCGTATGATCACACCTACCAAAACGCAACAGGTAAGATCAATGTATCAAATACCTCCTTCATATTTACAAAATGCTATTTAAGTTCTGAAATTTTCTCATTAACAATAACTCTGACGTGCAATGTGTAAATATCTTTAAAATTCTCTTCAGGATATGCAGAGATTATCTGAATTTTATTTCAGAAACTCACTTATGTTGCATATGTTGAGAAGACATATGTACACTGCGAAAAAAAAAAGACAATTCTATATCTCCCGTTCTAGTGGGTGGATTGACGAAATTCAACTTGCGTTTTTCATGTCTCGAAAGCGCCACTTAGGATATGTATTAGATGTATATATAGCACTGTTCTAATATAGGTTTTTTTGACACAAAATCGGACTTTTTCTGAAATAACACCAATTGTTTTTCCATATTTCGATTCTACGGCTCCAATTACACCAAACTACCAAGTTTTGTAAAAATAGCACGAGTAGTTTTTAAAAAATTTGCTCTCAAAATTTTAGCTCCTCAATGTCAATTGAGTTTGGTATATATTTATTAATCTTTTTTTATTAAACTTATTTGATTCTCCCTTTCATATTTCGAAATTCAGGTTCATTCCAAATAAAATTCGCCCATTTTTTATGAATTATTTTTAAAATTTGTATTTTTATGTAATTTTTATAAATTTTTCAAAAACAATTTTGAATTATAATCTGTAAACTTTTTACCATCATCTCAAAGTAGACGTATTTCTAAGCATACCTGGAAAAAATAACAGTTTTTTTATTCAAAATTTCCGAAGATATTCGTGAGTTTATATATTGGTTCGTTATAAAATTTGACATATTTGTTGAAAGCGATAAAAAATCAAATGTAGTTTAGACACTTTGATAAAATTATTTGATAGTAAGAGCGATGTCACTTTTTTCCTCTCTTGCGCAATGTAAAAAGGTAGAAACAAAGTGCTTTTTCTCCACTCCGGCATAATGGATGGGAAAGGAAAATTGGTTGTCATATATTAAGAAGTGTGCTAAGTGCTATTCTTGGCGCAATGTGAAAAAATTTCGCCAAGATAAATTTTTGAATTTTTCCGTAAATTTTGCACCAAATTTTACAAAATTTAATATCTAGACTCGAAATATGGAAAAAATGTTATGTTATTTCAGAAAAGTCCGATTTTGTGTGAAAATTCCTGTGTTAGAACAATACTATATATAAATCTAATATATGTTCTAAGTCGCGCTTTCGAGACACGAAAAACGCAATTTGAATTTTGTCAGTCGGCTTAGTAGAACGGGAGATATAGAACTGTACAATTTTTTTTTCGCAGTGTACCTGGTTTGAGCAATATATTAGGTGTTCAGTAATAGTGTGTCATTTCCGTACGTATTGAGTCTGAGCATAAGCATCTTGCTATGAAGTTTCTTAGAACAAGGTAGAATTTAGGGAAACTGTCTTCTTCTCAATAATGTGGATAAAAAGTTTCTGGAAATGGAACAAGAAACATGTGTCGAGGCCATACCCTTCAGTGTGGGTACGTAGTCATCAAGGTACCCAAGAGCCGACTATTTAGATAAAGAGGCTACAAGTCAACCCTTCCATTGACTCAGAGATCTCACTCTCCATAGTCACTGCCAAACACAAGATCTTCTGCGCCTTTCATGTCTATCTAGCAAGCTTGCTGGGAAGACTCAGAAAACACCGGTCGACACACCTACTCCATCGTTCCCGTGGTCTCCACCAAGAGGCTCAAAACAGTCTATTTTCACAAATCACGGAAGATTTCCCGCATACCTCAGCAGGTTCTGCCATCAAATGCGCTTGCGATGCCTCAGCTTCTTCACCAGACGTCTTCCATTACATCCACGACTGTTCACTCACTTTTTCCATCAGAACCTCCCTTCCTCAGCTCCATGGATCACATAGCCTCAAAGTCCTTCTTCAGGATTACTACCCCCCCGGGGGTCGACGTAGAGAATTCTGCGAAGCTACTGGCTAGGATCTGTACCTAGGCAGTCTCGGCCACGGGGGTATAAAATTTATGAACTTGGTGGTTCTGAAAACTCTGGAAAAGGTCACTTATTGCCGGCCTCGGAGTCTGGCACGTCCTAGCGCGGCGTGGTACTAGTAACCCGGGGGTATACCCCGGAGTCGCTGGGTAATGTCCCGCTGCGACGGGCTCGCCCAAGCGACTGGTAGGAGCATTATTAGACGACCGGTGCTGCCTGGGGTACTTCCCCAGGTGGTGCGCTGCTCTCTGGAGGGTAATAGGGAGGTTGAACCACCACGATGTGCCCAAAGGGGGAGTGGACCCGGAATGAGATTGAGTTCTCGATACGGGGAATGCCCAAATCTTCTTCTTCTTCTTCTTCAGGATTACTATGGACAGCGCAGCATCAGAACCATAATAGATTATATATATTCTAAGAGAAACATAATCATATCAGATAACCGGTCTAAGCACCTGACGAAATGTAATTTATGTATGTAAATATCTGTAAACTAATTAACTGTTTTTGCTAATTTTATACTAACATACCTAAAGCATTGTAAGTTGAAATACCCAACAAAAGTAATGCACTAATGTTAAATCTGTTTATTAATACTAAGGTTGAAAAGATAAACATCCAAAAAATGTTTGCTGGTGTAACGATCAAGATAACATGACTGACCTGTAGTGCCCATTGAGAGGTGAAGCTGGCGGAATAATAATAAGCAAATAAATACCCTTCACTCATATCCATACTAAACCTCCCGATCTATCACCAATGTATTTTTGCGCATTTGGGGACTCTTAAAAAGCGGGTTGTGGAAACGTCGACCTACAACCTCACACTCTGGTAAGCTGTTCAAGAGCAATGGGATAAAATACATCTTCCGATACTACAAAAGTCTTTGTTTTCTTGGAAATTACTGTGTATAAAAATAGTGCAGAATAAGGGTTTCTATAATTGCAATGAAAAGGGTCTAAAAATGTGCGCACAGTCTCTGTAAAAGCGCATGTGCATTCGAGCTTAATTTTGATCAGCATTATTTATGATTTCATGTCTTCCTATGTCCTAATTTTTCTATACTTTTTTTTTACCACTGTTTAATTAATATCGCGCTGAAAATAAAGAGTCCAGCTAGTAATGGAAGTCGCAAATATATCTTCCTAAAATGCATAAAATTTTATTAAAAATTATAATTTTACTTACACTAAAGCTATATCTTTGTTCATTACGCATTTTGTTTGGCGAAAAATTCCTATTATTCGTATATGAAATCAACTACAAAACACACGTTTAAATTTAAGTTTTACTGCTTTTAAATTTCATTTCTAATTAAGGTTTAATGAAATGGATGGTTTATTCCTTGGGTAATTAATTATAGTAAAGTATTCCAAGAATATGAGAACGTGACGTTAAAATGCGTTTTCTTATGAATTCCCTTCGGAAAGTAATTTTTTTATAAACAAGGAATGCAGAGCTACGAGAAGCAGTCACGCTACTCATTATCTGGGTATCTCTAGATGCAATAAATGTAGTTCATTCCTCTCAAAGCACCGCATCTGGTTTAGTTATTAGTATAATGAAACAATTTTTCGTTTAAGAAGATCTCCATGTTAATGAATTCCATTGAAACTGTAAAAGCATTTGTGGAATTATGAGTGAAGCATTTTTTCATGTGTTTACGCATTTTAATTAGCGCTTTGTTTATGCTGATTTACAAGAGATGTGAATAGCTGGATTTTAAGGGAAGCAAGAATTTTAATTAAATATCTACTTTATCTATCAACAATTTTAATTAAATGCATTTGAAAATTAATTTTAAAATAAAAGTTAGTTTTGCCACACTCTGACAAAATCTTTATTGTGCAAAGTTATCTATAATTCTAATTAACGTGTTATTCTCTGATCTAAAAAAATATGAAAGAAAACTTTAGATGCGCAGTACTAGTTTCTAAGATTTTCAAGAACACTGTGTGCACAACTGATCAATTTTTTATTTGACAGACACCTTTAAAGAATCTATCTACTATTATCTAGTAAAGGTACACCCAAATTTTACATTTTATTATTGGGAACAGTAGGAAACGTTGAAATGTAGAGTTTCCTTTAGTTAACTAACATTTTATCCAAATTTTTGTTATCTTTCCTGAACTCCCTAACTTCCCTTCGCATTTCCTCGCCAGGATGTAAATTTAAAGTTAAGTGAAGTGAGTATTTAAATGGGTGAATCTCTGAGTTTATTCAGAGCGTGTTTTCGCTAACCAGCGCACGTTTCGTTGCTCATTTCGCTGTTACGGTATTACGCCTTTTGGCCATTTCGGATAATTGTCACGCCTGTTAGGTTTCGTCGAGTCAACCTATGTTAGCCGCAACTTAACGCGTTAATCCGGCACTATTCTAATTAGATTTGAATTGATTTACGCTATAACGTTTAAGTTCCACCGCAAGTGGTCGGTATTACTGTAAAGCACGAAGAATGTGCCTTTTTGCCAAGTTCATTTTTAGGATCTAGTTTCTTTATGTGGTCTAAAAACGCTAGATCTTACAGAAGCACCTTGACTTATTTAAAACTAGCAATGCTAATCTATTTTATTTTCATAATATCGTTTATTGCAATCTTTCTTTCTTACAACTAAACGTTTTTTATTATCTTCTTTCAATAAATCTTTTTAAAAATGTTTCTGCTTGTTTCTCACTCTGTATTCTTACAGCATCTTTATTTTTCGACATTTTATATTTATTTTTGCGCAAAGAAAATCAGTACGTTGTTCTCACAGCCTCTTCCAGTCGACTGCAACATATTTCGGTATAACCTAAATTTTGCGCGCGCACGAGTGGCGTCATCAAAATAGTATTTTTGTCTAAGTAAACGAAAAGTATAGCTTTTGGACTTATTGAGATAAAAGCGTTCTACTAAGACATGTTTCGCGTCTTAAAATGATTTTATCCCTGAGACCGTCATTGAAGAACAAGTTAAATAACTATTAAATATGATTATACAAAAGCCGATTTCAATTATTTAATTATTATTAAATTAATTAAAATAAAATAACGATATGGATGAAGCGTCAATTTAAATAAAAATAAAAATTAATTACTTGACTAGAGATGGAAAAGAAGATTTTAAAAGATTTTGCAGAGCCGAAACGATACTGTTAGTTTTTTTTTTATTATTTTCGGAAGATATTATCCAAATAAATTTTAATATAAAAACATGAATACATTTACAGGCAAATTCTGGAACATTTACTAAAAAACAGTTTCTAGCATGAAAAGCAGTTTTTGTTTGCACTTCTTTCGTTGCATTTAAACCTAAAAGTTCTGGTGCTAATAAAATATCTACTATTTTACACTGATATGTATAATACCCTGTTTTAATCTGAAATATAATGGATGCAAAATTTTATATTTAGGACACCAGTTTTGATATATATCAGTTCATATATACTTCAACCATATGATGCCATTAAATATTTTATGTTCCTCTTTGACAGGCACATACGTCGTGGCGAAATTTCCTTCGGGCAGAGCATTTGGTCGACAAACTGTCCTCACCAGTCCATGGTTTGAACCTCCACCTTACTATCACAGGAACCCGTACTCACAGTATTACAACAGCTGCGAGGTACGTTTTTGATCTCTTCACGAATTATGCCTGTTCTATAAGCCTACTGTAACTCAACTGTGCATTAAGGGAACTCATACACCTTAAAACCATAAGATCTTCGAATATGTGACTGTTGCAAGAATTGGGGTAACTTATTTATTTTAAAAGCAGTTACTTCTAACGTTTTACAGCTGACTACATAATATAGCTGCTTTTTGAAATAGTAATCAGAAAGTTTGTGTTGCCACAAATATTTTTATAATTTAATCCGCTTTGTGACAAAATGTTTCGTCATGTTTCCATCTTGCGCGCACAGTTTAAAACATTCTGTTGCATAATTTAATTCCATGTTTAATATATAGCTTTTATAACATTTGGAAACTACTGTGAACCAAAAATTCTAAGAATTTCATGTTAATTTTTATTTTATTTAGAGTTGAGTTATAAAAATGTATTTTATTAAAAAATCTGTAATGTTTTCGTGTATGAAAGTTTTTAATATAAAAATATTCCATCAGATTTTTGGTTCAGTTAGAAAATAGTGCCCATATAAAGAATTCTATCAAGCTTCAAGTATGTACCATTAGCCATTTTTAAAATATCGTGAGCGCAAGGTAGAAACATAACGAAAAATTTTGTCACAAAGCGTATAAAATTACAAAAATATTTGTGGCAACACAAAATTTCTGGTTACTAGTTCCCAAAGCAGCTTTATTATGTAGTAAACTGTAAAAAGTTGGACGTAATTGCTTTTAAAATAAATAAAATATCTCAACTCTTGCAACAGTCACATATTCGAAGATCATAAGGAGTTTAACGTGTATGAGCCCTCTTAATGCAGAGTGCTTCTCGATAACGGTTTCTCGGCACCACGATTGTTCACTACTAATGTTTTGTTTGTAACGGATACCACTGAAGACACTTACAACAAGTTAAAAACTTTTGTGTTTCATTTTGTAAAATGAGCTTAAACGTTTACTAAATATACGAGGGCTATCTACAAAGTAACTTACGTTCCGCTGCTGCCCGGCGAAAGATAGTGCTAGTATCCTTATCTTGGTGTTTTTGTAGTGTATACTGAATTCTTACGCATCCGGCTGTAATTGTTGACGGCACGTATTGCTTGTGCCTTTCAAATGTAAGTAATAAAAACAATTTACTTTTATTTTTCATTTATTTTTTTTAAATTCTAAAACGTAAGTTACTTTCTGTGTAGTCGACGTAATTATATGGACGGGGAGACTGGAAAAAAAGTTAAATTCCTTTATTTTTTAAAAAATGTCTTCTTAAATTTAAAAATACCCAAACATGATTATTTGCCTTGTAAAAAACATTTTTGTAATAACGCCTTTGCAATAGTCTAACAGTTGCAAAAATAGATGATGCTTAAGGATTTTGTCTGCAAACCATTTACGAGTTTATGAAATGTTTCTTCTAGAAATAACAGTTCAAAAGAGATAAAATAATTGCTGATAACATGCTGTTTTAATTTCAGTTTCGGCGATTTAATTTTTATTAAACAGTTTAAATAATATTGTAATCTTTGTTTGTAGGTATTAGTAAATCTTTAATTTTATTTAATATTTGTGGATGCTATTTTTAACAAGTGTTCTGAATAAATGTTAATTTTGTATACGAAAACTTGTATGTAAAAATTTTTTCAATAACAAATTAAAGGTATTTAAAAGAAAATAAAAGTGGAATTTCTTTAAATAAAACAACAAAATATGTGTAATATTAATTATAATGAAAAATCTCTGGAGAAGTATTAATTTGTTGAGCAAATTACTACTTCTCTAGTAATCGTGATATTTAGTTACTGTGGATCGAAAAGTCTTATGTCTGACAATAGTCGTCAAGCAAAGTGTTGGTGGGAAATCAAATCAAACCTTTCTCGAGATATTGTTTAAGTTTTAAAAGCCTGTTATTTCCTTATCGAAATTACTTTGAATATCAAAAATGAAAATTGAGCGTGAAAGCAGTATTACAGTTAAATTTATTCGAAGTTACAATTACTCGTATATGACTCATAAGCGTAATTGATGCGAATTCTCGTCATACTCGTATATGACTCATAAGCGTAATTAATGCGAATTCTCGTCATACTCGTATATGACTCATAAGCGTAATTAAAGCGTAATTCATACGAATTTTTGATGAACTGAGAGTTTTTCACTGTAGTCGACTGATATGAAAGAAATTACCAGTTGTGCTGCTTGCAGATTTTAACCTTAGGATCTTATTCACACCTTAGAACCTAAAACGAAAAAGCGGAAAGAGCAATGATTAGACTACACTCCAATAACTACTCTCGAGCAACATCAACCATTTCCATAATTCTTCAAAACACCAAACTTTCAGAGCTGAGCCAATGAACATTATTTATGAACTTTGGACATTTGACTGAAAGATCTGAGCTCACTACAGTCTTACCCGTAACAAATACGAGCCAGTTTCCCTTAGAAGGTCCTCCACGAAGGCATCCCTCCCCTTAGGCAGATAGCCCTAGTGTGCTTTGCCATAATTAAATACACCTACACTTACACCGTAACAAATATTCTCAGGTAACAAAAACCAGACATTCCAAAGTATAAGCAAAATCAAACCCCATATGTTTATCTGCTTACATAAAAATGTAAATATTCCAGTGCCGCGATCTCCAAAGTATTAATTATACTGTATTGACATAATCCAATATTGTAATGCATATACTCAAGAGTTTGTGTAATGTAATTTTGCGGAATTTTATGTTACTAGCCTATTATGTTTAAATGTAACAACTCCAATGAATAACTTCAGTGTTCCTTAAGACAAAAATCTGATGTGTACACCACATGACTTCCTTGTACGGAATATTAAATTATACGCATTTTTTCTTGCATTTCGTTTAAACTTATTGGATTTAGTTAAATCTACTTCGCCGAAAGCGCATAAACCACAATAGAATAAATGCATTCTTTAAAATTCACTCTATTTGTTTACCATAGCGACACTCTGGCGCTAGATTCACTTAACAGTATTATATTTCGTTCATATTATAACTCAGAATGCACAAAATTTATATCATTTAAAGAATTATCTAATCGTTGCCACATGTTCTATTCAAATACTATAACAAAGCTAGAACGATGTATAAAAGAAATTAAGCAAACAAAACAAAAAAGAACCAGTTCTTCACAGACGATTGAGTATTTCTAATTCAATTAATTGCGTTCTCACTTCGCGACAAGACAAAAATACATAAAAATTCAAAATGACTAATTATTAAAATTAAATTACTAATTATTAAAAATTAAATCATTAAAAATTAAGTACACTTATTTCCTCGCAAAAATTCCAGAAAGGATTAAGCATGATTTAATTCGCAATAATAAATGAAGGCGTTATCTTTGTTGTTGCGAAGCTACGTTTCTCTAGATTGGCAACAAATCCTGTCTCTGCTGTTTCAAATGTAAACAAGCAATGGCCGCCATCAAAAATATTATTAGGCTTAGCGGCATTTAAACAACTTTAAAATTGTTGATAATTCTAAACATATTGCATACAGATTTACTAAAGGCATAAAAACCTTAACCAGAAGATAAGAGCAACATAATTCAATAATTTTTAAAGGGAAAAATGTACAATTTACAAACATATAAGAGTCAAGAAACTCAGATCACTGAGTCGGGTAACAGAGTGGATATACATATAAATATATTTATATACGTTTGGCGCGACCGATTGCAACCAAAATACGAGGTGCACATCTACCTGTTACACTAGTCCTATATACAAAATTTCAACGATCTGAGGCTACTGGTTTTTGAGTTATGCGAGATACTTACGTACGTACGTTCATACAGCTGCCACGAAAAATTCTCTTCAGAATTCATTTTAAAGCAGTTTTATAATTTTTTGGAGGGAAAGAGTCATTTATTCTGTCGTTGCGTACAGATATTACGCAAAAACATCGTTAAACTGCATTCGAAAGCGGTCAAAATGGATATTTTCGTTGAAATATGCTGCCTGAAAATTTTCGAGATTACAATACTTCCTTTTAACTTCGTACAAGAAAGTAAAAAGCGTACAGTTACTTCCAGGTTTTCGAAATCTAGCTGTTTAGAGTATTGGGGTAATACTAGTTTGACTATGCAGTGAAGTCTCAGGTGCTTCATGCACCTTATAAGGTACCTGCATGCACCTTTCTTCCTCCTTCCAATATGCCTTCGTGATGTAACGGTTAGCACACTCGGCGCGTATTCAAGAGGTCCAGGTTCGAGTCCCGGCGAGGGTATTGCTCATTTTTCAGGTACACTGCTTCAAAATAACCTCATGATTCTACAGCTTTTTCCAGTTCTTGTCTTTCCTTTGCATTTTTCCAATTTCTTACGATCATTTTAGGACAGAAGCTTTAGTTGCATTAAAAATGTTTAAAATTTTACTAACTGATGAAATATTGTTAATTAAAACTGATGTTTACTCAAAAATGTTCTTCGTTGATGTAAGATCCATTGACATTCCATTTAGAAACTTATTCTGCTTTTAATTGACGAATGAGGTGCCTGCTTTGGTTAAAATGAAAGCATCAGTTTTAATATGATTATTATTCAGTGTATAAGGTATTTCTCCCGCCTTCTTAGCATGCCTTCGCAGTGTAATGGTCAGCACGCTTGGTGCGTATTCGAGAGGTCGGTGGAACGAGTCCCAGCGAGAGCATTGCTCATGTTTCATATCTCCTGCTTCGAAATAACCTAATGTCTCTACAGTTGTGAAAGCCAAGTTCTAGTTTTAGATCTTTTATCGATAAAAAATCGTAAATATAGTGCAAGACTATGTTAGTGTGTTAATTTGAACCGATATATAATAAAAATATATTTTATCAGTTATATATTTATCTCTAACAATTTCAATTTAATAAATAGAAAGTTAGTGTTAAAATAGCCTCAGATAAGGCTGTTTCATTTAGTATGGTCCTGAACGTGAACCACGATATTTGTGCATTTGGTTTTTACTGTGTATCAGAGTACTGTATCTAG